CCCCCCCCCCCATATAAAGCGCAACAAAACCCGAAATCTTTTTGTGGCCTATTTTTTTTTTGGGAGGGGAGAACAAATTTCCCCTTTTTAAATGGCGCGGGGTGGGTTTTTTTCTTCCCCCCCCCCCCCCCAACCCCTTGTCCTTTTATTCTCCAAGGTTTCTATTTCTGTCCCTCCCCTCCCCTCTCCCCTTTCTTTCTGACCCCCCCCCCCCCCCCAACCTCGACCTTGTGCTGTTGTAGAAGCTATTGTTGTATAGGCCTAGGCTAGTTTCACCCGTAGGACAGCCGCAGCGCGCGTTATTCCGTAAACTTCTTCAGTTCTTCAACATCAGAGCTGGTCTCTGTTGTGTTTGGGTCTCAAGACCTTTAATTCAGTCTGTGGATCGGTTAACATTCATTTCGTTTGGGAATGGACGCCTAGCCTAGATCTAGTAGAGTTGTATGTGTGTTTTGTCCTTATTTTGGAGCCGAGGAGGGGGTTCTTTTGACCTCGCGGAAACCTTGGAATTTTTCACTGGATTTGGGACTCTTTGATTTTAGATCCCTAGCGCATTGGTGGATTGTTTATATCGCATATATATCTTACCTTAGTCCTGTGTAAGTCTGCTCTTCTGGTAATTATATAATGGTAATGCATAGGCCTATAGTACATTGTACATATTACATTATGACAATACATATTAATGCATAAGGTATGTATTAAATGTGTGTGTGTATATATATATATTATATATATATATATGTGTGTTATATATATTATGTGTGTGTATGTGTGTGTGTGTGTGTGTGTGTGTGTGTGTGTGTATGTGTGTGTGTGTGTGTGTGTGCGCGCGCGCGCGCGAGTACGTGCGCTCGCGCGTGTGTGTGCGTAAGTGTGGGTGTGGGTGTGGGTGCTGGTGTTACCTGTAAAATAAATATTTTTTTTTCAGATTCTTTGGAGGTACGTGTTGGCCAGTTAACAATTCCCATGGCAAAATCCATTTCGTATATGAGATGTTAAATTAAAAGACTCCTACACAGTTGCAGTGAGGCAAAGAGTAAAGGAATTGAAGAAACATTAAGCTTCCTCATAGTGCTGTGTTATTTCTTCCTCTCCTGTAATAATCATAATAATCATAATAATAATAATAATAATGATAATAATAATAATAATAATAATAATTTAATTATTTGTTTTTATTTGCTAGCACCTAGTGGGTGGTATGCGGGTGCACTAGCGTGGTTTGCTCCTTCTTTCCTGTGAAACATCCTTTGTCCTTATAAATCTCTCTAGCAGTGTCTTGTAGTATCACCTCCGCCTCTATCCTTCGGCACTTATATTATGACATATATATGTGTTGCAAGTACTGTAAAACTCTTACTGGAGCGGGGGGCTCTCGTGGCCTAGAAGTTAAGGTGTTCGCCTCTCATTCAAAGGTCCCGGGTTCGAATCCGGGCACCGACGGGGGAAAATGTTCTTCTCTAAAATTCTCCTTTCGCCTCTTTTTCTGTTCTCTAGCAATGTTCTATCGTCTGCTTTCGTCTCCACTTTCTACCCCCACCCTTTCACCTCCTTTGTCCCCTCCTCTGGGCTCCTGACTCTCTCTGCAGCCTTTCTACTGCTACTCTTTGCCGTTGCCTCCTTCTTACTGCTGTCTTTCAGGCACACCCCTTATCTTCTCGTAGGAAAGACCTACACCTAGCCTTCTCGGACAAGCGCGAAAAATCTCGGAGGTCCCGTGTGCTAGTCGCGCCCGTTAAAGATACCTTGGTGGTCTAAAATCGATAAGTGTAGGCTTCGACCGTCACCCTGGCAAAATTCAAAATTTCCTACCAACTGTAATGTGTAATGTGTCCCGCGCGTTCATATGACCTTATTAGGTCTCTCTCTCTCTCTCTCTCTCTCTCTCTCTCTCTCTCTCTCTCTCTCTCTCTCTCTCTCTCTCTCCACTTTTGTGTCTTACTCTCTCTCTCCTCGCCCCCACCCCATTTTTCACTCTCTCGCCCCCCCCCCCCTCATTCTCTCTCGTTCTCTCTCGTTCTCTCTCGTTCTCTCTCGTTCTCCCTCGTTCTCTCTCGTTCTCTCTCTCTTTCTTTCTCTCTCTCTCTCTCTCTCTCTCTCTCTCTCTCTCTCTCTCTCTCTCTCTCTCTCTCTCTCTCTCCCCCCCCCCTTTTTGTCTTCCTCTCGCCACTTATTCCCTCCCTCCTCTTTTCTGCCTCCCTCCCCTCTCCCCCTCTTTCTCCCTTTTCCATTCTGACTCTCTACCACTTCCCCCCACCCCTCCCATGATTAGTAAGTTACACAAACAAAAATGTAGTAGATCCCCCACATTTTTACAAAGCTGTAGAGATCGACGCGACTGGCGTTCAGGCCGTGCATTCACTGAAGCCTCATACATCGGCGTATCGTATGTTGGTCCAGTACAAAATATACATTGTATGCTGTGTACGATTTACATACACATGTGTACATCGTGTTGATGGGATCACTGGTGCATGCTGTGCTGTGGGATGTAGGTCGTGGCTGGAGTGTGCCACTGGAGTATTTTGCGGGTGCTCTGGTGTGATTTTAAGATAAGATAAGATAGTACTTTACTTTATTATCCCAAGAGGGAAATTTTCCTTGGCTGTACAGGACCGTAAAAACACATGCAGGTATACATTTAAAAAAAATTAAATTATATATATTACTCTCATTAAAATTCAATGTGAAAGGAGAAGTAAAGCTGACAAAATGTACATTTACATCAATTGCATCATTCAACCACATGCAGGAATTTAAATACTAGACCTCTGAAGTTATATATAGATACATACTCTAAAAAAGCGTTCTTCCGAAATTTATCCAAAAACTTGCTGGTTTCACTTTGATCTTTTAAACTCGAGTAGGGTAACTCTGTTCGCAAAGGGTGCGCTTTTGCGAAGAGGGCGCCACTGAATTTTGAGGACATTTTTTTAATTGGCTCAAAGAGAGGAGTGGCCCCTCTTGTTATGTAGACTCTTTGATTGTATTTAGGTAATCACGTCTGGACAGGTTGTGACTATTATTAGCTGAGACTCAAACAAAAATTACTTGTAATGGAGAGAGAGAGAGAGAGAGAGAGAGAGAGAGAGAGAGAGAGAGAGAGAGAG